GCAAGTGCACACTCGCTGGTCACGGTAGCTGGTGTAGGAGGTTTCCATCTGAGCGAGGGGAACTGTTAGTGGTGCGAGGAAGATGAGGAGGCGGGCCACAATCTCTTCAGAGGGAGGTCTGACGCGTGCTTGTAGTCCGTTAAAAGAATATGCCCACTTTTTCCCAAAATCTCCACCACCCCTCCTAGCAACATTCCCCCGTCCAGTAACTAAACCCCTGCGATGCGGGGCTGGCGGTGTCACTGCGGGCACCTAAACTAGCAGAAAGAGGTGTCCCTCTACACGAGGGAGACGCGCACATTAAAGCCCGCGCCCCAGGGCAAGCTTCTAGGTGCCACCATGTGGCGTTGCACGCAAAACTATCCATGAAGGGAGCTTCTGTGTTCTCAAGAACCTGCCCCAAGAAGTTCCACCTGCTCTTGAACTCCCCTGGATTCCCCCGAACCATGAGCATGTCACATGTCGTGGCTTCGGCTAGATGCCTCCACGCATCCAGTGCACTGTCCTGCGCTGAAACGTTGGCAACCCCGTGAATTGCCAAGGCGAACCAATGTCCACCCGTTCATCAGTCCAAAAACATGTGCCAGCGTCACAATACGCGATTCCAAGCCTAGGCTGTTTGGGGGAGAGGATAGAACGAGTGGGTCTAGCATCAGAGGGAGGGGGGTGAATGAGAGGCGGACAACCAGTGCGAAAAAAAGGCCACCTGAGGAGGTGGCCAGTGCACTCTGGAAAGAGTCCTCCTGCAAACTAAGCTGTGCGCTGCTCCTTCCTGGGAGGGCTGCGCATCTCGGTATCGGTCATGCTGAAATTCGGCCCGCTATGAGCTCGTCCTGGTTGCACAACGGCTGCGCCGGCGCCAGTAGCGACGGATCGATCATCTCGAGCGGTGGAGTAGGCCCTCCTGTCGCTGATGCTGCAGGTCTCGGGGTCGGAGCAATCGGCGTTGTCGGGGCATGCTCTCCCTCTGGAGTGCGCTGGGCTGGTGGAAAGGGCGAGGTTGGGCCGTGCCTTTCCACTGGGGGAGGAGATAATGTCCTTCTCGTGGTTGGTGGGGCCGATGGCACTGGCATGCATGCCCGCGGGAGTTGCTGCTGCTGGCGACGAAGCAATAATCGGGGCTGGGGGCCCAGTCACCTGCTGAGCCCCTGAGATAAACCCCACAGCGTTAGTCAGGTCAGCTATCTGCTTCTGCTGAGCTTCTTGCGCCTGCGACTGCAACTGGATCTGGTTCATCAGCGTGCGCATGCCCGCCAGGAGTATATCTAGATTGGCCTGAGAAGGCGCGCGCTGCTGTGGAGGAGGCGCAGCTGGAGGCGGAGCAGGAGGTTGCATTGGCGCTGCCCCTTCAGGCGGCGCAGCTCCTGCTGGATGTGACCTGGCCCTCGGCGTATTCATGGCAACGCCTCCATTGTACTCGCCCATGTCGTCATCATCGTCGAAATCCTCGAATCCCTGGTCGCCGTCTATGTCCTCAAGCTCGGAAATGCTGGTCTTCAGCCGCTCCAGATCTTTCTCGTAGCCCTTTCCTTCTTCCAACAGTTGTTGCTGCTTCTCCCGTATGTTCTTCAGACGTTCAATGACTGTGTCCCTGTTGGTATGCAAGTCATGCAACTGTTTAGTAACCGATTCTGTAGTGCTTTGCATGAGCCTGCAGCCTGCCAACTCCAACTCCGCTTCAGTAGACGAGCGCCCCGCAACGCGCATCGCAAGGATGAGCCTGGCGAGTCTGAGCATGCGACCATGATTCTGACGCTTGAACCTGCGCAGCTCACTGATGGCAGAAGGCGGCTCTTGATAATGTTTGGCAGCTTTGGGCATGTTCATCGTGCCTGCTCTTGGTAATGGGCACGGTCTGTTTGACAATGTCCTGTGCGGCCTTTGTTGTTGCTGCTGGAGTCCTTCTGGCGAGCAGCCCGGGGTCTGGATGCGGAGCGCCTGCTTCGAACCTTCCCATCTTGTCCTCGCTCGAAGTGGGCTCCGCCTGGGTGAGGATTCGCAAGGTTCTCATTCCTACCGAACGTCGTGCCACATAAACAGCGCCAGTGGTGTCCTTTGACGTGCCTCCCGCAGGGTATGCAGGTCCAATCCAGCCCAGGGCCAGAGAACCTGGTGCCCCGCCCTTGGCGGTTCGCCATCCTCGACGCATGGTGACCTTGGAGTAGAAGCGCCGCTGCTCGAAGTCCAAGAAGAACGCGCGCCTGGCCTCTCTGGGCCCTGGCCCGTCTGTGCCAACTGGGTTCAGAGGGAATGATGGGCGCGGTGCCAAAGAAAGTAAAAAGCGTAGGCGCTCGCCCGGGGTCTGGCCACTTTCGGTCTCGGATGCGCTGGAACTCTCACTTCCAGAGATCGGGGCCAGGGCCAGACCCTTGAGCCATAATGGCTACAGAGCTCCTCCTCCTCCTCCTCCTCCTCCGCCTCCTCCTCCCCCCCTCCTCCTCCTCCCCTCTCCCCCCCCCCCCATCCCTCTCCTCGTAGTAAGGATGGGCAACTTCCCCAAGGGTGCCGCGGCCCGCCTCCGCCTCACTCGGACTCGGACTTCACGTCCGGTGGCTCTTCCCCCTCGGCCTCCTCGCCCGAGTCCGCGCCCTTTATGGCGGCGAGCTCGGGGGGGAATGGAGAGGGGGGGGCCTTCAAACCACAAGTGCGTTCTGAGAGATTGTCCAAGCCGCGTCCGAAGGCGCAGAAGGCTCCTCGGGAGGCTGGGGGGCCCCCGAGAAGCACCGCCGCCGCGAGAAGGCCCGCCCCCTTTCTTTTCCCCTTCGGAGCGCTGCCGGCCTTCAGGTCGCCGCCCTTCTCCGCTTTCGCCTTCTCGATTCGGGCCCTGACCTCGCGATGCCACGCCTGCAACTTAGGACCGAGGAAACGCGACGCCAACGCCGCCAGGGCGAGGAGATGCTAGGGGCCATGGAGGGGGGGGGGTTCTCGCGGCGCGCCCCCCCTCCCACGCTAGACATCCCCAATCCCCAGCTCGGGGAGGCATAGTGGGTGGACCTCATCGTTTGGGGCGGCCCCCCTGGCGGCGTTGGCGGCGCCCCCCCCCCCCGTCCCCGACAAACCTTCGCGGCCGAGGGCCCCCTTCCGAGGAGTCCGACTCGGGGCCCCCGCCCAACGTGGCCTTGACGGTGGTGGCCACTTCCGCCTCGAGAGACGCAACTTTGAGGGTTCAGAACTCGCGCTTCTGAGCGAAGCGCGAAGCTCTTCGCGCTCTCGCGCCGACCCCCCCCCACTAATACTAATACTACTATAAAACACAATGGGGGCTGGGGGGGGGGGGGAATGGGGCCGAACCGCGAAGCGCGAATCACTTCGCTCCCTCGTCGGAGCCTTTGCCACCCGCGGACCTCCGAGAGACTGTCCGTCTTCGCTACGAGATCTTGGGTCTGGTTGATGGCCCATGTCAAGTGGGGAGGGCGACCCCGCCGCCACCCCCACCCCGATCGCCACCCCGAACGAGAGCATCGCGGGATTCTTCCGTTGGGGCTCTAGAAGGGCCCAGCGCTAAAGCCCCGAGGGGTTCTCGTTCTCTCGGGGCGATCGCGGCGTCGCTGCTGCGGGGTCAGCCCCCCTGTTCTCCTCACCGTCCCCCCCACACATCCCTCGTCTTCCCCCCGCACTCCTCACTTGCCCCCCCACACTCCTCGATTCTCACAGGCCCGCGCCGCGGCAGCGCGCGTCTTCGCGAGCTGTGGGTCGGCGGGGGTCGCGAAGGCGGGCGTGGTCGGGGCGGGCGACATGGGGTCGGAAGCTCGGCGCGAACGACATGGGTACGGAAATAATTGGTACAGTGCCCAACGACAAATCTTGTTCATTTTGAACAGGTTTCGTTGTCGGTGTCGCCGCGGCGTGTGTCCATTTGAGACACAAAGCCGCCTGCCCAACAGTGGCCGTTGTTGGTTTGGGACAACTTCTGTTGTTGGGCATTGTACCCATTCTTCCCGTGCCCATTTCGGCGCGCGCCGCGGGCGCGCCGTGGGGTTCGGAGAGCAGCCCGGGGGCTTGAGCTTGTTTATATATATATATATATATAAAATATATAATTATATGTTTGGAACTGCAATGAGTTCAACCAGATCACGTAAGCTACCGCGTCTTGGGGTGTTCACGTAAGCGACCGCGTCGCCGTGTAAATATTCAACCGGATGTGCCAAGCGTATGGGACAGTGTTGAACAGTTATGAACAGTTATGATAAGCTATGGGAAGTGATGAACGGTTATGGGAACTATGAGAAACCATGGGACGTTATGGGAAGTCAGGAAACAGCTAACAACTCGTTATGCGTGAGTGTTTGCGAAGTGTTTGATAAGCGTTTCGCAACCAGTGGTATGTTACAACCTACCCCGCGCCACCCATCACACGCCGTGACCCCAAGGTGTCGGCGGATTCCGCAGTTCGGTTCGATTCACAGGCGTCGGCCGGGGCCAGCCGGATCCTGGCGCAGCGATCCGGCTTCGGTTCTCGGGGCGATTTCGCGGGCGCCTCGAGCCGTTTCCGGTCCGACCTTTTTTTATCGCGAAGCGATCCAGTTCGGGTTTGTTCGCCTCCGTTCCTGCGTTCTTTCCTCCGAGCCTTCCCCACCCAACGCTGGCCTTTTGCCTGTCTCCGCCGCTCACCCAGCTATTTCCCACCCTCTCTCCATCCTCTTCCCTGGGGGAAAACCGGGGAGCGAGGTATAAGTTTCCTCCCTTTGGAGGGAGGGGGAAGGGAGGGAAGGGGAGAGACGGGCGACGGGGGGGAAGGGGAATGACGCCCATGTTGAAACATAGTACCCAGTGCGGCAGAAGGTTCGTAGGTTCGTAACAGCTTTATGCAGGTCACGGTTGGGGGGGTCACGATGGGCCCCTGATTCCAGGGGCCTAGGCTCTCTCACCAGGCGCCATCAACAAAGCGCATTCAAACTCATTTGCGCACGAGCTGTTTAGGCAAGGGTCACGGCCGCGCCGGCGGCGGGTGGCATTCGACGGCGCGCCCCCCCCCCCCCCCCGCACCTCCCCTACAGGAGCGGCTGTGGCGCGTGCGCTGCTGGGCGCTGCTGCGGCGGCGGGAGGCTGAGGTCCTCATGCGCCTCGGCAGCTTCTGAGGCGGGGTGGGGGAGGCGGAGGCGGAGGCGGTGGAGGAAGAGGAGGAGGAGGAGGAGGAGGAGGAGGAGGAGGAGATCGAGGAGGATACGGAGGAGGAGGAAAAGGAGGTGGAGGAGGAGGACAGTTGGAGGAGTAGGTGGAGAAGGAGAAACAGAGGAGAAAGAGGATGAGGAGGAGGTGGAGGAGGAAGAGGAGAAGGAGGAAGAGGAAGAGGAGGAGGAGGAGAAGGAGGAGGAGGAGGGATGAGGAGGGAGGAGGAGGAGAAGGGAGGACGTCCAGGTTGTGGTTGTGGTGTTTGCCGCGGTAAGCATCGGGTGTGGCCGCGGGCGCAGCCTCTAGCGGGACCACCCTGTCGGGGGTATATGGGGGACAGCGGGCCACCTGTCGCGGGTGGCCAGCACCGCAGCGTCGCGGCTCAATTCGGTTCAAGGTCTGCTTGTGGGCGTACTTCATTTGAAGCGCCACCTCCTCCCACCTAGACCACTGGCAGGTTAAGTATACCCGCCCAAACATTATATTATTGAATCGCTTCCCTCATTCCGCCGGCCCATATTGCGCGCCGTTGTCGACTGACCGAGTGGTCTTTCGCGGTCCGGAGCTGCAGGGGCGGTGGCTGTGTTTATCAGACTTTGCGTTCGGCATGTGGGGGGTAAAGCAACTCTCAGCTTCGCGGCGATTTGATATGTTTGGAGCGTCTGGGGAGGTGTCGGGGCGATCGTTGTTGTTCACTTGGCTTGTTAAGTGTTTGCTGCTTTGTGGGGTTTCAGATGGCTTTGTGGGGGGTTCGATTCACCGGCACGGCAGACCAGCGTGGCAGGCCATCACCATGAACCGGCTTTGGCAAGGAATCCGAACCAACGTCGACGTGAACATGTTTTGCCTATGGGGACTCTTCCGGGAGGCCTCTTGGCGGCCTCTTGGGGACCCTTAAACGCGTCGGGGCGTTGGCACTGGCTTGCGTGCTCGGGGGGGCATTCGGGGAGCCTCTTGGGGCCGCTTGGGGGCCTCTTGGGGGCCTCCTGAGGGCCTGTTGGGGGCCTGTTGGGGGCCTCTTGAGGACTCCTGGGGGCTTTTTAGGGCCGAGGGCTCGAAATGTTGTTTCGTGTTCCCCCCCTGGTACCTCTCTTGGGGCGTTCTTGGGGCCGTCTTGGAGCCCTCTTGGGCCGTCTTGGGGCCCTCTTGGGGGCCTCTTGGGCCCTCTGGGAAGCCGAAAAGGTGGAAACGCCCAACTTTCTCCACAACCTACGGAAAAAACAATGAATTTTGCCTCTTGGGGCCCTCTTGAGAGTGCTCTTGGAGGCCTCTCGGGCCGTCCAGGGGCCATCTGGAGTGATCTTGTGGCATCTCGGGGCTCTCTTTCATGATCTTGAGGGGCTCTTGGCGTCCTCTTGGCCTTTCCTGGGGCTCTCTGGACGGCCTCGAGGGCGGCGCCCAGGAGGAGCACCATCTCTGATCTGAGTTTCCCGGGACCTGCCTGGGGTACTTTTCGTTCGGGGACCCCCGGTGGCCGCCCCGCGCGCGCGAAGTAGAATTATTGTAGAACAGTTACGGGAGATCTTAGCACACCTTTGGCCCGTTGGGCTCGCGAAAATGTATATGTTTGTGTATATATATACATGTATGTAAGACATGTGTCAAGAGTCGGAGGAGGAGGAGGAGGAGGAGAGAGGACGAGGAAAATGAGGAGGAGGAGGAGGAGAAGGAGGAGGAGGCGCATGAACGCGGGGAGGGAGGAAGGCGTGATGTCGTGCCACAGCGCTTCGTCGCCTGTGGAGAGGGCCCGCGTCACCTCGGGCGGGCTCGCCCCCTCGGGGTCCCAGGTTGTACGACGGGCCCCCAGACATGTCGCGGGATGATGTTTGAGGGGGGAGAGGGAGTCCGGGAGGGCCAGGGGCAACGCTAGGAGGATGCAGTGACCCCGGATCGCCAACTCATCGCCGACAGAGACCCGTCGGGAGCCTACCGCCGATTCTCCGACGATGCATTGCAAACAAGGGTCCTGTCGCGTGGATTCGCGACGGGTCCGGCGCCATTTCGCGATCATCGCGCTGCGTCGCCAATTCGGGCGGCAGTCGCCCCATGCTTCGGGGGTGCCATCCCCGATCCATGCATCGTGCGCCCACGCCGCAAGTGCATGGATCCCTTGGGCGCAACGTAGTGGCCTCGTGGAGGGTCTCTTGGGCGCCTCTCGCCTTTTGGGCGCCTTTTCGGGGGGCTCATGGAGGCCTGTTCGGGCCTCTCGGGGGCCCAATGGCGGGCCTCTTGGAGGCCCCATGGGACGTATCGGGGGCTTCTCGTGGCCTCTGAAAAGCTTCTTGTTGGTCTCAGGGGCGATGTTGGCACTAGAGGGTTCCCAGGTCCCCCTTTTTGGGCCGAGCGCTCAGGAAAAACAGTAGATTGTTCAATGGTTTGGCCTCGGGAAAGTCCGTGCGCATAACGCGCCCGTGAGTTGGACCTGGATTCATTGAACCGAGCTCGAAGAGACAGGAGGACTCCCCAGTGCTTACAGCACGGTGCCCCCGAAGTTTATTCACTTGCATCAGTTGGACGGGACGAGGGCGGCGTTCTTTGGATTCTCCCTTAAATGCCATGAATTGTCATCCTGGCACTTGCGCAAATACAAGGATCGAGGGACTTGCTGTTCAAATGGGGCTCCCCCCCGAATGGCAGGCCGATGGGGCGTGTGTCTCTCACGTGTGCGCTCGCTTTAGCGAGAAGTAACAACTGCGTGAACTTCCGAGGCGTCGGCTCACAACACGAGGCATACTTGCAGCACCTCTGATGCATATTAGGTTGTGCCTCCTGGGAGGTTGAATCCAGCGTCGGCACTGGTGCTTCCGTGGGCCTACAATCCTGTCTGGTCCGGCTGGGTCTAGTTCAATGCGGGGCTCAATTTGGCCGAATTTGGTTCCTTCCAAAACGAAAACCCGCGGGACCATCCTCCTGCCTATTGGGGAGGACGCATCGCCAGGAAGGAGCGGCGCCTTGGTGGACAAGCTGGTCCCAGACCCCGGTGTGGGCAGCATCTCCAACCACATCCGCTGCGTCTCGGGCTTTCTCGGCAAGGCCGCGGCGCAGTCGATATCTTTGAAAGAGCGTGTTCTACCGCTGCTGGCGGAAAACCGGGGGGGGTCACTACCGGTTCGAACCCCTCCCCCCCCCCCCCCCCTCCGGAAAACCGGGGGGGGGGTCACTGCCGTTCGAACCCCTCCCCCCCCCCCCCCTGCTCATCATGAAAAGGGTGGGGGGTCACTACCGGTTCGAACCCCTCCCCCCCCCCCCGCCTCCGGATCCGGAAAACCGGGGGGCGTCACTACCGGTTCGAAACCCCCCCCCCCTCGAAAACCGAGTGGGGGTGCGGACAGTGGTGGGGACGGTGTTGGTGGGGACAGTGGTGAGGGGATAGCGGGACAGTGGTGGGGACAGTGGGACAGTGGGACAGTGGTGGGGACGGTAGTGGTGGGGACAGTGGTGGGGACAATGGTGGGAACAGGGGGGGACAGTGGACAGTGGTGGTGACGGTGGTGGTGGGGACAGTGGTGTGGGGACAATGGGAATGAGGTGGAAACAGTGGGACAGTGGAGGGTACAATGGTGGTGGGGACAGTGGTGAAGGCGGTGGCGAGGACGGCGGTGGGACAATGGGACAGAGGTACAGTGGGGACAGTGGTGGGGACAGTGGGGACAGTGGTGGGAACAGTGGGACAGCTCAGTGGGACAGCGGAGGAGTCAGTGGGACAGTGGGGACAGTGGGGATAGTCGGGCAGTGGTTGGGGCCGTGGAGACAGTGGGGAGAGTGGAACCGTGGTGGGAACAGTTCTGGGGACAGCGGGGACAGTGCGACAGTGGTGGGGCCACTGGTGGGGACAGTAGGGGCGGTGGTGGAACCAGTGGGGACAGCGGTGGTGAGGACAGTGGTGCTGGGAACACCAGTGGGGGATGTGATGCGGACGGTGGTGGGGACCGGGAGTCGTTTGCTGGCGGTGAGTAGGGGGGGGGGGGGGGGGGAGGGGTTAGGGGAGAGGGGGGTTTTGCCGGGGGAAAGGGGGGGGGGAGGGTTCCAGCAGGGGGGGGGGGGGATTTTCGGAGGGGGGGGGGGGCGACCCCCGGGTTCCGGAGGAAAAGGTTGGCAATTTTCTACAGTAAAGCGGCGGTGGATCACGCTCTCTCATATCTTTGGGCCAGATTTCAATCCAGATCCACTGCGTCTCGGACTTCGTGGGCAAGGCGGAGGCGCACTCGAGATGGATTGAAATCCACCCTCTGGAGGGCCAGACGTTTGCCCCCTACCCACTGCGCCTCGGGGGTCTGGGGAACGGGGCCCGAAGCTCCAAGCCGCAGTGGATATGGATACAAATCCTGTCCGCACCAAGGGCTCCCTCCACAGGACGTCTCTCTCCTTCCTGGGCTGCTCGCCGGGCCCGAGAGTGGCGCGAAACCAGCGCTTTAATCAGCGACGACCTGAGGCACGAAGCGAAGCCACCATCGGGCTGCGCCAGAGCTTAGTGTGTGTGTGTGCCCCCGTGGAAAAATTACTTGGCGTCGCTCGGGTGTGCGCATCTTCTTCTCGGCGAGGGCCACGGAGGAACCTCCTGGACCGTCCTGCAGGAGGAAAAAGGGGCGCGACACCGAAACAGGCACGGGGAGTAGACGTCCGCGCGATGGCACGAGGAGGAGAGCGGCCACGGAGGAAGACAAAGGGGGGAGGCCGCGCTCACGGCATGCACGTTGCTTGGTCAGCAGCGAGGGCGGGCGGACGCGTGCGAGGACACGGCTGGCCCAGCCGGAACCGGGGGCACCCGGCTGCGACGGGATGAAGAGGAGGCTGGCCGCGGAGGAGATGGAGCTGAACTGAATTGGGGTAACTCGGGGGTAACTCGGGGATAACTCGGGTCAGGGCTGACTCGGGTTCGTTTTTCGGGAATCCGAACCCGAGTTGCCCCCGGCCTGAGTTACCCCGGATAACTCGGGCGTCCAGAGCCCCAAATCATCAGGGATAA